CTGATCGATATCCAGGAGGCTCGATAGATCGGTCTAACCGACGTGTATATTGAAGAGGGAGTAAAGGATCTGTTGGTAGCTCCGATACCACGAGCGAGAATACTTCTCAACTTCTCTCTCGTTCGTCTCTCAGCGTGCATACGGGTGTCTTTCTCCTGCATAGCCGACTATCGCAACGGACATCAGCGACGTCCGGCATTTTACCTTATCGCCAACCCCTTCGGCCAATAAAGATGACCCCTATAGAGATAGTACCGCGAAATACGCGGACCATCCCGTTCAGGGATTAACTGCCGTCGCCATCTTGGGTTAAAGATCGTTTTCTCCTCTTAGGCCAGATATAGTCGCGATATCGGCCTTGAAGGTAAGCTAATCCCATCGCTCGCCTCGACTCGCTTCGCCGAGCGGCCGGCAGCTTTCGTTTTCGGGAATATTTCTGTCGCGATCGATTGACACAACGTCACGATTGTTCGGCCGATGCATTGAACCATCGAGACCGAAGGATGTCTCTTTGCAACGGAACGTGTACATATATCCACACGTTCGAGGTAATACGATAGAAATGCCACAGTAAGAATATAATCGTCGATTTCCGAGAGCGGCTGTCACTCATCCTTTCTTAATCGTGATCGATCAAATCGGTGTGATTTGTAAATTTTTAATTTAATTCGAAGTTCAATTCGTCGTTTGTTCGAGATATTGTATATAGTTTCGGTAATACATTTCAAGAAACCGTTAAAACCAATCGCTGTCGCGGCGATTAATTTTTCTTCGAGGAAGATTAATTAATTAATTAAAGGAGCTTTCACCGTGAGGTGGCAATTCCACGAAGTGGAACAAAGTGTGACCGTTAGTTTCTGGCACTAGGAGAGAGAAAACGTTTCGACGAGGATCGGCGTGAAATTGATCCCCGCCCTCTAGACTGCGATGAAGTTTAAAATGTCCCTGTCGTTCGAGCCCGGCCGAAAAGCTCGTCTACCAAGAGCTCTGCCTTCGAGCTTCTCAAATCACTTTCCTTCTTAATTATACGCGGCGTTCGGATCCTATAACCTCGTGGAGGAGAGCCCTTAGGTGTCTCGAGAGTAACCCTCCCCGAAAGTTAGCGCGTCTCTACTTTCCGAGTTTTTGCCATCAGCCCGTATTTCGTTCTTCCACCGTTCGTGCATCTCTCGTCCTCAACGAATTAAAACAAGCCCTTGACGAAACACTTGCAGCGGCAACAACCACGACAACGTCCCGTCCGAGTCCTCCGTGGATCATGGCTTCTCAGCCGAATGTTTGGAGCACGGCTAAGCCTCTCAGGCCTCCCTCGAGGATTACGACACCCCCGGCTCAACAGCCGCCGCAGCCGCCAGCATCGTCCAGCCCGGCGCTCCCAATAACCACCACGCCAAGGTCAGTATACTCTAGATAGCAGATTTTGCGTTTACACGTTTCTTTTGATTTGAATTGTAGAGCTAAAAATAATGGAGAGCCTCTTCTTTCCTTTTTTTTTTTTTTTTTT